TTTCTCTCCGTTTCACAGCTAAACCGGAAACGCTGCGGCGCATTCTGAAGCTGGCGTCTTTTCCAATAACAATTTGCTTGACGATATTTTTCTTTGAAATTCCGCGTTGTATGTTCTATCGGGTTGATGTTGTCGTCACTTGCAAGCAGGGGCGGCTGGAAAAGTGGTGGAAAGAGGGGACGCGCGCTCTCACGCAACGGCTCCGCTCGTTCATTAATTACATAGTTTGGGTGGCGGGCGGCCTGCTCGTGCAAGCGGCAAACCTCAATTACACCATTCCAGTAATTCCAGAGACCGTTCTCTTTCCTCATTATTGCATTAGTCAAGATCATTTTCTGTTTCCCAAGCGACGCATCGCTCATCGTCTTCAACCTTACATCCTAAATACTGATCACATTAATTCCCTCATTTATGAGCATTCCGCTACTACAAAATATTTCACGCAACTTTCCACTGTCTCCGCCTTTTTCCATTCGATTCATGTCCTAAAACTCAAGGCGTCATTGTTTTGCAGCTCTGTATGCATACGTAAACACGGTCTATTCTCATTTGCACGCTCTTTCTATTATTATTTGCCATTGGTAGGCTCAAGGTCGCTTGTTTTTGGACAAACGGCATAGATAAAAATGATACCTAAATAAAACAACAAAATTTAAAATAATTTTTTTGCAATAATGATTACCTAAAAAAAAATTAAAAGTAGGTTTGACCGCCGACGGTGGACTAGTGGTTAGTGCTGCTGACTACAAGCCGAGAGGTCGTGGGTTCCAATCCCACCAGGGGTATGGCTGTTTATTTGTGTTTTTCCTATTGTATATTAGTCCTTCGGAGGGGACTTTAAGCCCGCTCCTACCCCTAACCCGCTCAAGCCATTCAGTTGGCTTCTGGGACTTCTTAGGAAGTAAGGGTGGAACTAAAAGAGCACTTTTTTTGATAAACGACATTTTATACACGAATTTAATTTAGGCTTAATTAAATAAGTGCCTATAGGCTTTTCTATAGAAAAGTTTGTAAACTTATATACTTTCTACGAAAAATAGTTATTATTATCTTAAAATGATATGAATTAAATATATGTATAGAGCGACATCCTTAAAACAATAAAGTAACCAACTTGGGAATCTCAAATGTCAAATTTTTATGTGTAAATCGAAATTTATCCCTTAAAAATGGACCGTTTAATCCGATATAGAAGCAGTTTTTCACAGTGAAAGTAAAGAAAATGTTTTATGGGGACTCCCCTGTAGAGTCTCCTCGCGAAATTAAGTTAAATATAGTTTACTGCCGGCTAAATTAAAAGGTCAGTACAATGTTCGTATAAACTTTTTAAATATTGGCGTTGAGAAACCATTTAAGGTAGTTGCCGTGCTGTAAGCATACCATCAGAAAATTTTAAATTTTTGTATACTTAATAAGAACATGACAATACAATTATCCTTAAAATTTGAAGTCGATTGATTGGATAATTAACATGGATTGTATACGCTTTCTGTAGTTCTGTACCAGTTTCTTAGTTATAAAAAAAAAACTAACTGTCAGAAGCTTTCAAAAAACTAACAGTCTTAAATGTATTTTTCCTGAGTTTAAAAAAAAATAATTAAAAATTTTTGACCGTCCAATTATTTATAAATAACCGTTTAAAGTTCAACAATTTTAAAAAGTACACGGATAAAAATGATTTCTTAGATATAGAATTTTATTTTTCTTAAAAATATTTATTTGAATAGAGTTAATTTGATTTGATTTAAGACGAATGTTTTGTTACAAGAATGTTCAATTTCTTTTAAATAGTAAATATATTTCTTGAAAAAAACTCTTGGTTCAAGAATTTTTCTTCATTGAAGAAACGCGTTGCGTTAATTCAAGTAAAATATTTCTTATTTTCTAAAAATTACCCTTTTCTTGGGACAAGAGAATCAGGGCTTGTAAATTTTACTTGAAGAATAATAAAATTTATTGTTCTTGTATTAAGAAAATCTGATCGTTTGACTTTTCGTTTCAAGAATAATTATTAGATAATTTCTTGTATTTACAAGCTGTCCGTTGGGGAGGGGATAAACTTGTTTCATACGTCCTACACCCTCATTTGAAAAGTAACCGTGCTTGTGTTTACTTAATCGAAAATCGAAATGGAACCAGAAAAATTTTGGACGGGTAAAAGGGTTAATCGTCGAACTATAGTATACTGTTTCAAAGCAACTTTTCGAGTTGTTATTTTTAGATTTTTTTTTCAATTGCTTAAATTCGAGGTGTTTCTTATAATATGGCTACCCACTGTAAGTTATAAATTTGTTCCTAGTCTTAAGTATTATGTTCCTATTAGTTTTAAACCAATATTAAATACTTATGTATACATAAAGCATTAATGTATGTATCCATAAAGCATATATGCTTTAAATTGTTTAAATAATTAGGGTATTAATTTGAACAATTTAATGCAGGCTAATATTGTTTAAAATTTTATTATAAACGTTATTTTTTGTTTTTTGTTGTAATAAAATTTATTTTATTTTATATGTACTTTTATTTCATCTGTTCTATTTATTAGGTAATATTTGTATTTCTCTACTGATTATCAACCATATATAGTCTTTCAACCTTATCTGTTTAATCATTGAGTACTCAATGGATTAATCCTATTAGCTGTACTCGAATTTTTATTAAAATAATCTATAATAATCTATAAATAGTATCTATACCAAATGTATCTATTAGATACATTTGATATTTTTTTAATTAAATGCATCTAAATATAAATCAAGTAATCATTTCTACCGTTAATATAAACAGAAAATGCATATATAAATTGACATAACATTGTTTAGATTATAGCCAGTCGGAGTGTAAGGGCACAGTGGTTAGGGACCCTAACCATCGTGCCCTAACTTAGTAATGGAGGTAACTATTTTAAATATTTTTTGCTTAATTAAAAAATTACTTCTTTTATTTAAGCTTTTGAGTTTGCTTTGGTATAGTAAATATTTAGGCTTCAGTCGGGATTTTTAAAAAGCAGAAGTAGGGGTAAACCATTTTTTAACTTTTTTTGACACCATGTACATTTTTATTTATTTGTAAATAAATCTTTGTGTCAAAAAAGTTCAAAATTGTTTACCCTCCCTCTGCTTCTTAAAAATCCCGAATCTAGCTTAAATATTAACTATACTGAAGAAAATTTCAAATACTTGTTTAAAGAAGTATTCGTCTTAAATGAAATAAATATTATCTTTAACCAAGAATACATTTTATTAACGCAAGACACAAAATCTTTCTATAGAGAAAAGAACGGTTTCATTGAAGAATTCCTTTGATTAATGCGAAGAATAATGTCTTGAATGAAGAATAATTACTACTCCACCAAAACTCAATTATTTTTGTTTTTTTCCTCAAGTAATTTTATTTTTTATTCAAGAATATTTATTCTCGATCCAAAATGCGACAATTTTAATAACAAGAGTTTTTATCATTCGTTTAAGACTGCTTATGTTCTTAAAAAGGAGAAAATATATTCTCCGAGGAAAACATGTAACACAAGAATAATTTTTACTGCTGGCAAGAAAATATTGTTTCGAAGAGATAGGAATCATTTAGTATCTTGAATGAAGTTAATTTAACTTGGCTGAAGAAATCCTTTTTTACAGTGTATACATCACTAGTGTCAGATAAAAACAACTTGGCAACGCTGTACGCGAGTATAGATATTTTTTCCGCAGTAAATTCAAACAAACTGATTCAGTCTCCAATATAATAAGCGACGTTGCCGGATTAAAACTTATGAAAATATTTGAAAGTATTACGTAAAGGTAACGTCTCCAGGGTACAGTCTTGCGAAAAAATTATGAATTACTTATCTACAAGCTCGCATACTTTTACGGTGCGTATAATCTAAAAATGTTTGACAATATTGTACCACGACAACTATCTTAATAGCTTTGTTTTTTTGTATTGAGACAATAAAGTAATTTTTTGATTTAGTATTATATAACTAAAAGGCCACTATATCTTAACGATTGTATGACATTTGACAACTGTAAACTGTCAACTTAAAACTGACTAAATTTAAAGGCCGTAAAGCCATGAAAACATGTACGATAATAAACGTTTTAAAGGTGGGAGTAGAAAAAATATTTTAATACACAAGCCGCCACTGCATTAAGTGTAGCTATATCTATCAACTCACGCAATGTCAGTGAAACCCACCCCAATAGAGATGCATATTTAAAAGGTGCATGTTATTTTTATCTGCCATATTAATCAGTTTTTTAATGCATGTCCTAGTTACTTGTACTTACATAATTACTTAATACTAATAATAAATAAGAAATGTTAACTACGTTTAATTGGATCATTACTGACTGCAGTTGAAGCTGATGTGTTGTAATCATTAGAGAAGGCGTCGCGACGAAAAGTGCCTACGTATAGCAATTTGAAAGCAAAACATGTAACTAATATAAAGTTAAATGGGAAGCAACAGAATAAGAAGTGGGATGGTTTGGGAATGATTTCTTTTTATGTTTCGTCGTGTGTAATAATTTGCGGGTGAAAATGAGCGTCTCGACGGAAATAAACTGGGGACGGACGTCTCGTTTTCGTTTTGCGGAAATCCAAACGCACCCCAAAAGCAGCGGTGTAACGAACAACTTTTTACCTGTACTATGTGGATTTTGTCAATAAGTTATAAGAATAACAATGTCAAAGGATAAAGATTGGAAAAGAAAGTGCGAGTAAGCAATTATAAGAGAGTGCCGAGATACACCACTGGAAGCCTTGGGGGAGTGCCCGACGCGTCTGCAAATAGAAATATCCGAAGTTTGATCTGGAAACCTAAAACTCGCAGCTTTTCCAAGTGCCGATGCATATTGCGATTTTTCCGATCAGTCCGAGAATTGCGGTGTTGAGCCGTCTCCAGATTTATGATTATAAAAGAAAATACGGAGATCAACAGTCTTTACCATCGGATTTTCAAACGCAATTTTTCCCTTTACTATTTTCTATATATTTACCTTTTCTATTTGGTCATTGAACTTCAAATATGGCACGGAATCCAAAATCTGCAATAAAAACAAATTTTAATTAGTATATATATGTCGTTTAAACTTTTCCTTTTCGTAAATTTCTTATAAATAATAAATCCGCTATAAAACGCGTAATTTTTATGGATTCTACAGCTCGACGCGCTATCCTTGTCTATCTCAGTCAAGAACAATCAATGTCGGTCTCAGTTATGGGCGTGCCACACTCTTCCGCAGACACAGATAGCTGTGTCGAGCTGCAGAAGAGAATATAACAATTTTGGTGCCAATAAAGACAGACAGCAACAAAAAATGAAAATGTCAGCAGTACCATTTAAGTAAAGGCAATAATGAAATTGTTTAAGAACAGCAGACAGATGTGGATAAGCACGACATCTGGAAACAGTTTTATTTTCCCAAATATTTTTTAAGAAATTTCCCTGGAGATAAAATTGTTAATGCTATATTATAAGGATTCGGAGACTCATCTTCAACGGAAATAATGAATACACAGCAGCGGGATGTGATTGATATGTGCAGAAAAGGGTCCAGACCTGTTATAACAACAGTCGCTGCTGCTTGCGCTTGGGGCGCGAAAAGTTGCGGGTTGCTCGTATTATTTCTTGGTTGACATTTGTTTAGCGAATTTGACGCGCGGTTTAGCTCAAAGTGTCAAGGGACCGACCGAGGCCGCTAGTGCTTCTCTAATTAGAGATGTTTGTACAGCTGCAACGCAATGTCTAACCGAAGCGAAGCGAACAACGGCAAGCATAAGCAGCACCTCGCGGCGGCGACAGCTTCTCCCAGTCCCCGATCCTGCTCCTCCTCCTCCATCTCCATCTCCGGCCGCGTGTCTTTCTTGCCTGCTACCTAACCGTTACTGTTTCCCGTGCGAACGTTCGTCAACTCTAGGCTCGTTTATCATTCCCTAGAAATTTATAGTTCAGTTTTATTACGAGGAACGAGTCGAGCCGGCTATAAGCCGTGATGGATCGATTTCTCAAACGTTTACAACAAAAAAATCCGGACGTTTCCAACACTTATCTATACATCCTATCTCTTTATTAAAGCCAATTTCAGATCAACCATTAAATGCTTCTTATTTCTGATGAATCGCCCGGCCCAAAAAAAGTTCCCTTCATTTATCACCTTCTTTCTGCTTAATTTTTTCCCGGTTCCTAATGAATTTGGCCACCGCCGACGGTGGACTAGTGGTTAGTGCTGCTGACTACAAGCCGAGAGGTCGTGGGTTCGAATCCCACCAGGGGTATGGCTGTTTATTTGTGTTTGTCCTATTGTATATTAGTCCTTTGGAGGTCCGTTCTTACCCCTTAACTATTTCAAATTGGGCACAAGGAGCAGTCAACAAAGAAAGTGAATTTAATTGCGATTGTCAAATAAATAATTCGTTCGTGTTGAGAACATTTGGCCAACTATTTAATGAATTGCCCGTCCGCCCGCGTGTTCAGATGACACGGAAAGAATGTCGAAGCCGCAAAAACTTTTACTAATTATTGATGTCGATAAAGTTTGTCAAAAGTAACCAATTTAGTCCGGAAAAAGTCAATCAGACAAATAATTAATGATAATTGCGACAGCTTTTCCGGTTTTCTTTTTTCCGGTTTTATCGCCAATGTTTGTTTCCGCCAGCAGTATTGGTAATACAAATAATAATTGATGCATTGTTTATGGGATCGGATAACGAAACTAGGTCCGTATGATAACACGTCATGATTAGGTTTAGTTTGGTTAATTTGTGTCAATATTGTACTTGAAAAAGGACAACTTTGGTGATATGTTAAACAAACATTGAAAATATTCACCAACACTAAAACAAAACACAAAGTGCTTAAAGTACTTAGAGTTTGTTTGGTGTTGGGGAATATTTCTATTTGTTTGTCAATATTGTAAATCAGATCTTAATTGAAATGAGATAGAGCCATAAAGAATCCAACGTGTTGAAAGTAATCACCTCCCAACTCTTTTCAAAAGGGCTTTTTAAAAATATTTTTATCATCATTATCATCACATCGTAACATGGCGTATATTTTATGTACACGCACGTTCGTATATTTCACCCTCGAGGACATTGTAGTGCATGCTAGTGCCTCCCCTTTCTCCACTTCGCCCCCACATCGAAATTTACAGAAAATTAAAACTTCATTAATTTGTAAAGGGTTGGCTTATAAGAAATAGTAAGGTATCTGGTGGCAAACGAAATGTAATTACTTCGAGATGAAAGATGAGGGAAAGGAAACTAAACGAAACAACTCCCCAGACCCATCTTAGGCCCGCCGGGTGCATGTGTTGCGTAATTGTTGAGATCTCTTGGCGCTTTTAACGTAACGCCAACCATGAACATAGTCCAGCGACAGCGACTTATCGACCGCGACCCACAGCCAGCTTCGGGCTATCAAACTCTCAAATTCTTATTTCCATATCATCATAGATTCCACCAAATCTGCTTCTCCCCAACCATATCCGAACATACCCAAATCTAAACATTTTCCTCATAAAAATATATCTGAATAAAAAATGAGATTTAGTTAAAAATGGCGATTGCTGGTGTTTTTTTAAAATGGGCGATTTTACTTCGTATGGAAAATGATCTCTATTTAAAGCAATAAACCAATCAGAGCACGGCATTCTCAGCACACTAGGTGCGATCTATAGAAAGTAAAGTCGCAAATATCAGTATAGACCTGCATCCATATCCAATTTTTTTTGCATGGAGAACAAGCTTTAAAAAAACGCAATTCAGTTATTATTTGATCAGTTAACATTCGCCATTTAGGCGCGTTGGGAGTAAATTTTTAGCAGGCCACGGAAGTGACGTCACAGCTTACGTCTCACAGAAAATATGAAACCATTTTAAACCAGGAGAGCATGAAGGTAAGCCGATGGGCAACATCTCATGCTTAGGCCAAACAAAATTGAACAATTAAAAGCTGCCCTTACATTTAATTTATTTAAAATTGGGTACATGAAAACTTCCAAACTACGAACAAAATTGGATAATTGAAAACTGCCCCTACATGCATAAATTTAAAAAACCACCACTACACATAAACATTTAGTAATATTTCTCAAACGACCTCAACAAATATTCACATCAAATGTTGAAAAGATTGCCTTTAATGAAATTTGCCTTTTTTGTAATCAGCGACCTTTAAGAAACTCTTGAACTGTGAGTGCTTTAATTTAAAAAATGGTAGAAAAAATTGGCACAGAAGGATAAATTTAGGAAATGGACAAATTCGCACAGTAGGATACATTTAAAAAATGGTAGGATAAATTTACACATTATTATACATTGAAGTAATAATAGAAAAAAATTGAACAGTGGTATAAATTTAAAAAATGCTGGGACAAATTTCCATTTTCATACATTTTTTCCAAAATTCTATAAAAAATCATCTGCGGATAATAAATTTAATAGGGTTTTTACTATTTGCATCGCTCAGATGCACAACTACAAATAAACATTTAGTAATATTTCTTAAACGACCTCAACAAATATTCATATCAAGTTTTGATTAGATTGCCTTTAATGAAATTTGTCTTTTTTGTAATCAGCGATCTTCAAAAACTCCTAAACTGTAAGTAGCTTAAATTAAAAAAATGGTAGAAAAAATTGGCACAGGAGGATAAATTTAGGAAATGGTAGGACAAATTCGCACAGTGGGATAAATTTAAAAAATGGTAGGATAAATTTACACATTATTATACATTGAAGTAATAATGGAAAAAATTTGCACAGTGGCATAAATTTAAAAAATGCTGGGACAAATTTCCATTTTCATACATTTTTTCCAAAATTCTATAAAAAATCATCTGCGGATAATAAAGTTAATAGGGTTTTTACTATTTGCATCGCTCAGATGCACAACTACAAATAAAAATTTAGTAATATTTCTTAAACAACCTCAACAAATATTCATATTAAGTGTTGAAAAGATTGCCTTTAATGAAATTTGTCTTTTTTGTAATCAGCCACCTTAAGAAACTCCTAAACTGTGAGTAGCTTTAATTTAAAAAATGGTAGAAAAAATTGGCACACTGTCGATTTTTCAAAATTTCAAAAGTTTCAAATTTTTTAATTTTTTATTGGAATTGTATTTCCCACTCGCCAAAGAAGTAAGTATGTACATATAACTTCGATGCAGAGAGAAAAGAAGTGGGATAATTAAAGGGTAAGTAATATGAAGTTGTGGATGAAAACATTAATTAGTAAATCTCGTGGGATTGGCCGTTTTGTGCATTGTTAAATTGAAAACGTTTGATAAGCAAAAACGTGCGTTCAGTCTGTTTTGGAAAAGTTGAGTTAATTTAAGATTTTTATTGATTTGTTAAAGCATTCGATAGACAAGTTAATTTAGTCTGGGTTTGCTGTAGCGACTCTTTCATTTAAAATGTAGTGCCGCGCAAATTTAAATTACGAATTAATGGAATTTGAAATGAAAGAATGATTTAAAACAAAGCGTAGGCTGTACGACAGCTCATTATATTGTTTTGTGAGCAAGTTACACGCCTAGGGCTGCTAGGGCCTCAAGGCTGACTTCACTCCACCTCGCTCAACGCAACTCAAAAAATCACACACTATCCATTATTCATGAATATTTTAATGATCTCGTTCGCCATGGACCCTTTCATTTTAAAACCACCCTACAGCGATTCAACAGCATTAATAAATGATTGCGAATAATTTTCATATTTTTTAATGTTTCATTCATACAAATAAAATATTCGTGCACATTAATAATGGATACAATTGAAAATACGTAGGTAAAGGGCTTTAACCACCGGGGCGTGAGCGCGTGCAGTGTCTATAACAGTTGGTGTAAAAACGAATCAATCTGTACGACGAACTAAGCTCAATTTAATTAGTAATCCAATATTAAAGGATTTAATTTGCCCGGTTGCGTATAACAGATGGGATGAGAAGTATTGAATACAATGTGAACATAATTATTATTAGTATCGTTCGCATTATGTTCATCATCAGGATCATGATCATCATCATCATCACTGACGTAAAT